GGGGTCAAAAACATTCAATGTTTGCAAAGAAAGAATAGGAATTGTTCTAATCCAGCTTAAAAACATAAAGCCAAATTTTGTTTGTCTGCCAGCTGCCTTTTGGTCATTATAAAGATATTCTCACAGGAACCCAAAATATCTTTGACTGCAAGTGTTGAAATCAACTTCATCATCTTGCAGAATTTATGGTTTGGTTATTTTTCAAGTGATGCATGTATAATCTGTTTGTCAAAAATATATTTACAGTATTTAGTATAATACCCTCTCCCTAACCATCATGGTCTTATATACTATTGAATAGGCTAAATCTACCCTGGCAACACATATTCTTCATTTAAAAATAATTGAACCAAAAAATTTAGCTGACTGCTTATGCAAATAAGATCCAGAAACTACATTTTATGAGTCAGGTTCTATCCCAATGCTTGGACATAGTTGAATTTCAGCAGTACATTTCCAAACAATTAATCCTGCTAAAAATCCAGAACTGCTTCTACTCCTGAGGTTAAATGGCTGACTTATTGCTGGTGGGCATAAAAGTGAGCAAGTGAACACACTGAACATTCACCATAACCTTGCAGAATGGTTTTTGTAAAATGTATAACAGCCCATAAACTACATGAGGTTATTTTACCTTTGCATATATAGTGCCTGTATAAGCTTTGGATAAAAGCTTCCATGATATGTACTCATCAGATGATAACAAGGAAAGTAACCAGTCAAACATGGCTGCCAACATATTTCATGATGATGATGATATTGAAGGCTGGTTTTTGGTTCATACTGTTTTTTTTTAGAAATGTTTATGCCACATTTTTCTGTTCATTCTTAAATTATTGGGGTTCAGAGGAGATTTGCCAGTTTTTGTGGGTTTTTGTATTACTTGGTTAATGGACTTTCAGGAGATTAATGGCCCCTTTGGAATAAGGCTATCCTCCTGAATTGGATTGCGGCTATTAACCAAGGCATTGTTTTATTCCGTTTACAATGGCCTTATTCAGCATGGGGAACCCTGGAGGTAATTCACTATAGCTGGATTTCCAATTAGGTAATGGAAGTCAATACTGTTTAACACTGATCAGTTCAGCAGGAACATCATGAAGTCAGTCATGGTGTAATTTGCTGCCAGAAATTTCAAATAATGTATAATACATTTTGTGAAAGAACATTGTTGGTTGATTTACTTGATTAAAATGAGTTTTAAATGGCCAGAAATGCTACAGTTCTACAGTTTAGAGTAAATTTTGACCAGTTTTAACATTTGATCATTTGCTTTTTACAGCAGTATTTTCATATGTCACAATACAGATTTTATTGTGAGCAAAAATGTAATGTATTAAGGTGTTATTATACTGTTCAATATTCATGTACAAATGTGTGCACAAAATCTTGAATCAGCAGTGGACTTTTCTGCTGCTGAGAAATACATTTGTAACTTCAACTACATCTGATTCTTTTATATTGATTGATTTTATTTTTTGGCTTAAAACATGGACAATGTTGAATCAAACATAGATGCCCTGTATGTTGATTTTACTTGAAGCAGAATAAGAATAAGAAAGAATAATCACATTACATTCAATCCACCAAAAAAATTCCCTTCTAAATATAATTTGAAGTTTGTTAATTTAATGCTTCTTCTATTCTGAAAACTGAACTTCCAATCAATCCATATTTAGTGGTGATCCTTCCTTCAGGATAAGTATTTGAAAAATTTAAATTAATGAAGGAAAACATGTTTTAACATTAGAAGCATTAAAAGTTGCCAAGCTGGGACCTGTCATTGTAATTTGATGCCCATGTTCCTGGTATACCTTCCATGTTTGATTATGTAAGTTCCTGGTGGGAAACAAGATTATATT